ATTAGTTAGGGTTGGAAAGGACCTTAAGACCATCTAGTTCCAACCCCCCTGCCATGAGCAGGGACACCACACACTAAACTATGTCGCCCAAGGCTCTGTCCAGCCTGGCCTTGAACACATCCAAGGTTGGAGTTCCCTCAGCTGTTCCTTGTCACACTTGTGCTCCAGACCCTGCACCTGCTCTGTTGCCCTTCTCTGGCCCTGCTTCAGCACCTCAATGTCTCTCTTGTGGTGGGGGGCCCAGAACTGAACACAAGATTTGAGTATCCATGGGTTGCCGTGGGCTGATTTGCCGCAAGGAGCCACTTTCTGGGCTGTGAATGGTGGTCTGTAAACACATGGAAAGGCAGGAAGGAGCTGCTCACCCCTCTAATACCTTGCATAGCAAGAAGGTACCAAAGTGCCCGTAAAAGTATTTGCTGGGGTCTTTAGTGCAGCTTCCTCAGGAGCTGCCTAAGGGAGACCTGGTACAGGGCTGGGATATCCAGAGGGGTGCTCTGGGGGAGTTGGGTGCTCAGCCTTTTGCTGGAAAGCAGGGTTTGGAGGCTGAGCAGGCACCTGGGGACATTTCCTCACCTTTTCTTTGGCTGCAAGGTGGCAAACTGAGCCAGAGAAATACCCTCGTTCACACAGAGCAACTTGTCACCTCTCCAGTTCCACTCTGAGCAGCTTCTGGGGACCAGCAGGGAAACCTGCCACACCAGTGCACACCCCTTTTGAACCATCCCCTCCTGGAAAGGTGAGTTCTCAGGAGCAAGGGACCCCATCCCAGCACTGGCAGGGGGTTGATAACTGGCAAAGGTTTTATTTTGCATTCACATCACTGTTAAAACTATCCTATGCCTCACACTGGGACAGTCTGATCATGCTCCTCAGGACCAGCTCTATTTTGAGCTACCCAGAACCAGCTTTCCCTTGGTGTGTCTTCCCAGGCAAGTTATGGGTTTAAATAGCAAGCAGGGATCTTTTAAGACCCTGTGCACCCACCCCCCATGACAAGAGGAGCTGCAGCTTCACAAGCCCTTCTTGGGTGGGACGAGCTGTTGCTGGAGACCCTGTGCCTGGATCACTGAAGGACCATTGGAGGAACTTCACTGGGGTGGTCTCTGGGTTGTTGGTGGGGTGTAGATCCATGTGCTTGAAGACCCTGTGAGCAACCCTTGAGCTGCTTCCAGCCCCCACTCCCCCTCTGCCTGGGCATTGTGTCCTGTCTTCTCCCCTTCTCACCAGGTCCAAGGTGGCCACCAAGCTCCAGCTCTCAGAAGTGCTGGGCTTCAGGGGAGGAGCAGGTGGTGTCACAGGCTCCCCCTGGTCTGCACCGTGAGAGGAAAGGAGACAAAGGCAGCACTGGAAAATGCTGATACTATATTCCAGAGCGGGTTGCCTCGCTCCCAGCTCTGCTGAGCTCTCCGTGCTGGGAGCAGCCACCAGCAACAAGATGCCTCCTGCACTGGCTCTGTCTCTAAGCCTGAACAACACTGTCGATCCAGCTTCGGAAGTGGCTTAGACAGGTGTAGGCACCTGGTGTGTTGACATTGCAGTTGCTGCTTCCCCAGGAGACAATGCTGATCAAGGTCCAGGTGCCCCCATCCTGGTATACCAGTGGTCCACCAGAGTCACCCTGTGGAGAAGACACACTTAGTGGTCCCACCACATGCTCCGAACTGGTCCTTGCCACCCCAGGCACCTTGTCCCCTGGACATGGAGCTTAGATCTCTGGCTCTGTCCATGCAAGGATGAGGAGAGGAGGACCCCATGTGTCCTCCTCTTCCTCTGGCCTCCCTGCGCTGCAAAAATTCAGCTCCTTATCTGGCAAGATGAGGTGCCAATGCCACCGGCACAGACCATGGAGCTGGTGATCTGGCTTCCCCAGTACTTGGCGCATTCACTGGAGGAGACCAAGGGCAGGGAGACCTGCTGCAGGCTCTCTGCCAGCGTGTAGGCTAGGGAAAAGAAGCATCATTAAACAGCCTGGTGTCAGCAGCTCTCCTGGGGCCTTTGGGAATGTGCAAGCACCCTGGGCAGCTCCTGAACACATGGGTACTGCCATGCAAAGCACCTTCCCCATCCATGCCAACCTATGCCTTCTTCCCAGGAATATGCCCCATCTGTGGCAGTGTTCAAGGCCAGGCTGGACAGGGCTTGGAGCAACTTGGTCTAGTGGTAGGGGTCCCTTCCCACCCAAACCATTCTGTGATTCCATGATTCCCCAGGAGGGATCGTCTTGGCTAAGCAGCTCTGAGCAAGGGCAGGCATGTGTCCATTCACAGTTTGCACCCATTCACCTCCTGAGCACACACCTACATCTGTACTTTCACCGCTGCACATGTATGCAGACACGTACGTGCCCAGACAGGGTTACACAACTGCCTAACTCCCTCTCCCCTCATGCACATAAGGTGTCACTCCCCGAAGGTGCCACCAGGCACACCCAGACCATGCAGGGCCTTCTCCAAAGCTGCAGTTATGTACAGTTCATGCTGGTGCATCCCCAGCCGGTGGTGACACACTGGAGGTTGTTGGGCAGACGCAGGTCAGTGGGGGGCAGGCAGATGGGGGACACGTGGGGTCCCAGCTTGGCAGGCGAGGAGAGCTTCAGCAGGGCAATGTCATTGTTCAGGGTGTAGGGGTTCCAGTCGGGGTTCATAACGATCTGCCAAGAAATACCAGAATGTGAGAGCGGCTTTGGACAAGGGCCTGTAGGGATAGGACAAGGGGAATGGCTTTAACCTGACAGAGGGAGACTGAGATGAGATCTTTGGAAGAAGTTCTGCCCTGTGAGGGTGCTGAGGTGCTGGCACAGGTTGCCCAGAGAAGCTGTGGCTGCCCCATCCCTGACAGTGTTCAAGGCCAGGTTGGATGGGGCTTGGAGCAACCTGGTCTAGTGGAAGGTGTCCCTGCCCATGGCAGGGGGTTGGAACTGGATGAGATTTAAGGTCCTTTCCCACCCAAACCGTTCCATGATTCTACAATTCATCCCTGCCCTCCGAGAGCAGCCATGGTGCAGAGCTGCAGCCCCCTCCCAGCATCAGGGCCACCTGGCTCACCCTGACCACATTCTTCACTTGAACGGAGTCAGTCCCCCAAGGACGATGATGTGGAAGAGTGGTCTGTGGGAAGTATGGCAGTGGGATACATGGCAGCCAGCACTCAGGGTGGGAGCAGTGCTGGGGATGCACTGCATTGTGTGCCCAAGGGAAGTCACTGTGGAGAGAGCCGGGGAGGGAGCCCTGGGCTGCTCAGTTCCTTGGATGCTGGCCTTAAGGGCTGTCCCAAGTGCCACTTGGTGATGCCCAGTGTGCCCCAAGCCCCCGGTGGCACTGACATGGGCTGGCTGTGCATTGCTCCTCACTTGAATTTGCAGTGGGCAGCGGTGACGACACAGTTCTCGTTGATCAAGGAGCCACCACAGAAGTGGGATCCAAAGCGGTTCTGGGGAGGAACGGAGGAAGAGCTGGGGCTGGGCAGGCTGAGTCCCCTCCTGAAGTAGGGGGCAGGCAGAGGGTATCACAGGGACACTTGGTGCCTGGGGAGCAGGTCAGTGTTGTACCTGCAGGGAGACTTGCCAGGGCCACGAGCCGGGCACTGCGTTCTGACTGTTGATGATCCTCTTGTTTGGTGCAGCGAAGGGCTGATGCTGGGCTCCCCACAGCCTGCAGGAGAGGCAGACAGGCACAGAGGTAACCCCAGAAGCGAAGGGCTCACACCCAGGGACTGCCTGTGCCAGTGCAAGTGGTTCTGTATCACCATCCCTGGGGTGCCCCAGTCCTGCTGCACCCCAAGGACTGATATAAAGAAAAACTGGAAAACATGAGGTTAAAGCACGGTATTACAAAAACAAGACAAGCAGAACAAGGAGCAGAAAACAAGAACTCTAGAGAGTTCTTGATGAAACCGGCCTGAACTAGTCTTGCGGTTGCTGAGGCATGTAAATATGGCAAAGGTGAAAAGCACACAGCGAGGAAGACCCTTTACTTCATCCCGACGACCTCGGCCCAAGACCACCAGAGGGCAGTGCGCAAGCACGAGAACTAATTGTAATACGTGCCTCCTATTCTCGGAAACCTAATGAATATGTATGTTTGTAAGTAATAAATATGTACCCACTTGACTCCCCGGTGTGCAAGCTAGGAGGAATGATCCCCCTTGCACCTGGCGCCGCAATAAACATACCTGCTTTATAACTCCTTATGGGTTATAGAGTCTGATTCTGTGCACCAGGACCTCCCCACACCCATCAAAGCGCTTATCTGTGACAGTGCTAGCAAGGGCCAGGCAGGCAACTGCCCACAGAAATGCCACCCTGACGGGACTCGGCTGTGCTATCCAGGCCACCAGCTTTATAGGCAGCCAGGAACTGTGTGGCTCATAACTGGGCAGGGTAAAGACCCCGCTGTGGGGACCTGGTCAAAGCTGCACCTATCCTGTGCCGTGCAAGCAGAGATGTGGGAACCAGCTGTCAAAAGCACTCTGGGGTGCTCAGGCTATCACTGTGATAGTTGTGTCAGTTTGTGCTGGATGTTCCCAGGGCCCAAGGCCAGACCATGAGCCATGGCTGGATGCAGGTAAGTGTGTCCCAGAGTCAGTGGGGCAGGTAGGGTGGGCAGACACCTTCCCAGGCAGGCAGGAGACGTGGCCAGAGCTGGACAGGACACCGTGAGCCCGAGGGGGGATGGAGGCACCTACCCTGGACATGGGGGTACAGAGTGTCTCATCACCCCTGTGTGATGTTCCTGGCATGGTACCCAGAGCAGGGAGCCATCCCTGGGGTGATGCTGAGCACGGGGATGGATTCCCCGCCTCTCCTTTCTGCCACCCATATGCCTTGTCCCCTGCCCCAACGCACTGTGGAGCAGAGCCTGGACGCTGGTGAGAGATTGCAGAGCTTAGGCCTTTATTTCTGGCAGTGGTGCCACACAAGGAGAGCAGGATCTGGCCCACCACAAGGCAGGAAGCGTGGAGGTCCTCCAGGGTGCTGCAGGGGCAGGATGAGGCAGAGAGATAGGCTTTGCTCCTGATCTCTACATGGCACCTGGGGAGAATGTGACCAATGGCTGGACAGCAGCAGAAGATGGAGGAAAAGCCAGAGCCTAGGGCAGCACTGCCCATCATGGAGGAAACTTGTGACAGGAGGATGGCTGAATGCACCAACACGACAGTCTTAGGCTTGAGGCCTGTCTTGGATGTTGGCAAAAAGAGCCAGGCCAGGAGCTGGGCAGGTCAGAGGAGCTCAGAGTTGTCCCTTCATGCCAGCAGGGACAGGGCTGACAGCACTACCCCAGGTGGTGAGACACCCTTGTGCCCTTCTCCTCTGCATCCGTGAGTCATGATGAGCCAGCTGAGCTGCTCTCCACTGTCCATGCAGGGCCCAGGCTGGTGGAGCAGCAACTCCAGACCTCTGGGCTGATCCAGAACAGAGCAAGTCATCCCATGGCTAAAAGCCTCCTTCAAACCTGGGTCTAGCAAGGCTCCAGCCTGCCTCAGAGCTGGGGTGGTAACAGACTCCATGGTGAGATAGATATGCTGGCTCAAGACAGTTGTCTGGATTCTTGAGGAAACCCAAATAACTCTAGCCCTCACTCTAGATCTCAGCTGCAGAGTCCTGTCCTGTGCTCTGTGTCTCCTCTCTTTCCTGCAGGCAATAGGCCAACCCCCAACTCCTGCCTCAGCAGTTCAGCACAGCAGCTAGGGGTTGGTTTTCTCCTGACCCAAGTCTTCTGGGACTGGTGCTTGCAGCAGAGAACAACCAGCTCAGTGAGGCAAGAGCAGAGAAGGATGGCACATACCGTACTGTCCCCAACACAGGGTGAGGTGCTGTGTGAAGAGGATGCCATGTGTCATCTCCACTCTCCCCTCAGGCATCCTCAGCGGTGTCCTGCATGGTCCATATGTCTGTGGGGCAGCAGGAGCAAACTGTGGGGAACAGCATCAGGCACACTTGCCCTTGCGAAGGCAGAAGGGCAGCTCTGGCACGGGGACCAGGATGGTGCTGAAGATGGGCCGGTAGCTCTCGGGCATGACCTGGGGGTGCTGCACCATCATGTCCAGCACCATGTGCCGCACCTCCTTGGAGACATCACCCCGGATATCCAGCAAGGTGGAGATGTGCTCATCGCTGGGAGAGAGCAAAAGGTGAGTTGGCTGCTGCTGTCTCATGACATTGTCCACAGTGTCCCACAAACCACCCATGATCCAGAGAAGCTGAGCTAAGCCCAGTGGACAGCTGGTGCCTTGCACCAGCCAAACTTTAAAGTTCACTTGAAAATAACCCCACAAACCTTATAGATTTGGTTTTGCCATTTCATGGGTTTCAGCTGATTCTGACATTTCCAATTCGGTGGTCTGTGATTGCTCACATGTGGTTTGGCCACCAATACAGGTGGGTGAATGCCAGAAGCAGAACTGCTTTTTCCTTTACATCTTTGCCTGTGGGACTTTGCAAGAAGCCCTCAAATCTGGAGCATGGGAAAAGGAAATCTCACGGAGAAGGGGGAAGAAGCTCAGGTTGGTGCCTGCTCTGCAGTGTAACCTCACAGGGTCCATCCCAAGCAGCTGCCCTGGACAGACTTGCACCTTCCTCATCTCACAGGAGGGCAGATCTGGGCTTTTACCTGATGTCGGGGTACTTGGTGATGAAGCCCAGCACCTCCAAGCTGAGCAGTGCTGGGTCTTTAAGGCAGATCAGTTCCTGCAGGGCAAAGATGGCCTCCAGGCTCTGCTGACTCTGGTCCAGACCCTGGGAGGGAGAGCAGCCACATGGGACCACGAGGCCACTGCAGTGGCTGGTGAGATGCAGCCCAGCCCTTAGTGTCCATGAGGGGACCTGGCCCTGTGCAGCTCCCCATTCAGCATGTCCCATTGTGAAGACCCAGTGACCGTCACTGGATAAAGTGGTTGGTCCCCTGAGTCCCAGATCCAGCCAGTTCCTCCCATCTTGGCCTCGAAACTGCCAGAGTGTAACAGCCACATCTTATTCATGGGCTGATGTACCCAATCCCATCCTGGAGGGCAGCAAGAGGGTGATGGAGGGGAGCTGTGAGCTCCCTGCACCAACCTCACCGTGTGGCCAGCCCCAGCTCCCCAGCACCTCTCACCAGCCCACAGAAGAGTTCACGGAGCTGTGTGGCATCCAGCAGCAGGCGGGCGCAGAGCTGGCCCCGCTCCTCCTCACTCTTGCACACCACCTTCTTCTGCATGAGTGCCCGCAGGTACTGGCTGGCCACCAGCAGCTCAGTCTCCATCAGCAGGAGCTGGGCAGGGAGAGCTGTTAGCACTGGGCACCTACCGGGTGTCAATCCCAGTGGCCCAGGGAAAGGCAGAGGAAAAGGGATACACCACCAAGCTGTGGGGATAACCTGCTGGGAAGCCCCCTGGCTGGAAGGACAGAGAAAGGAGCTGAATACGGGGGAAACCCTGAAGATCCCTGCATGGTGGTGCCCTCTGGGCTGCTCCAGAGGATACGGGCTCTCCAGCAAACCCAGCAGCAACTGCATCCCCTGCATCCTGCACCCCAGTGTGGCACCCAACTGCCCACCCTCCTCACCCTATGGACAAGAGCCATTTGAAGGACACCCTGCAGCAACCGTACCATGAAGACAGGTCTCTTGACGTGGGAGAAGTCCTTTGCATACTTATCGATCACTTCACACATGCTGCTGACGAGCTGGGACCCCGAAAGCCACTTGCGGGAATGCAGTTGCAGGCAGAGGGGCTGGAAGGAGCAGAGGAGTAGCATGTGGTGCCCTGCATCACCTCACCCTCACAGCCACGGGGCACCGTGACACCCCACCACGGCTGCCTACAGCACCCCCCAGCCCCTGCTGCCGGCCAAAAGTCACCATCAAACCAAAGGAGTGCTCCAGATTAGGAAATGATGGAAACACATAGGAGGCTTTCCCCTCTCTCACACCCAGAAAGCTGTGGTTTGGGGCTTTGTCTAGGTCCTGATGCCCCATCGTGAGCAGCACCCAATGTCTGGGCAGCAAGCACTTCTTTTGGCCTGACCTGCTGTGGTTTTCTTCTTAATTCCCACTCCACTTCCCTTGTGTAGATATAACATGTTTATGGCTGAGGGCTTTGATGTCCTACCCCTGCCCTGCTGTCCTTGCCTGTCTTCCTGTCTGCAAGCAGACATTCCCTCTGTGTCTGCTGGGGCCAGGGCAGTCTCCACATTGCCTGCGAGCGTTTCACCCTTTAGCTGCTCCTTTGTTTTCATGGCATTCAAGCCCTAAATAGCAATGCTATTCATTATTCCAGATTTTCAGTCCAGGAAAGCTAAATGTGACTATGCTGGCAGGAAATGACTTGGGCAGCATATGGGCTTGGATCCTCTGCAGGACATTGCCTCTCTCCTGTTGGTTTTCTGCCACGGAATAGACATCAAAAGGAGTGTGGGACAGCCGGGAGGGCTGTGGCTCCTGATCTCTGCTGGGATGTGATCTGGGGGCCATGAGCTATCTGCCCCAGCGATACAGGGTGAGCTGTCTGGTGACACATGGAGTGAACCGTGTGTGCTTTTCAAGGTCTGGGAGCCAGGCTGATGTTTGAGATATTTGCAGGATGATAGCAGGGCAGGGGGTACTGGTGGGGATACTGGGCAGGAATGAACCCCACCTGGGGTTGTAGCTGTCAGGCTGTTCTTGCTAGAGACGGGTTTGTTGCAGCCCTGCCAGCCTCAGAGGCTGTGGACAAATATACCTGCAGGTCCAGGAGCAGCTCCTCCAGCAGCAGCTGGCAGGCCTTCTTCTGTGTCCTGTCGAAAGCAGCACGGAGGGTTGAGGGGACTTCTCTGCAGACAGTGTCGGGGTGCAGTGAGGAGACAGAGGAGCTGGGAGAGAGAGCAGAAAGGAGGATACAGTTTCATTTTGGTTGGCGGGGTCACTACAAGAGCTACAAGGTGCTGGGGCACTTTACCTGAGAGCCAGGTTATTGTTGAGTGTGGCCAGTAAGTAGGACATGTAGTACTTGGGTATGGAACGGT